CATTCAGGCAGGTAATTGGTCTGTAATTCCTTGGATTGGACAAATCTCCAGTCTTCGGGAGAAAAACGGTTCGACCCTCTAAAAACTCGATTATTATTATCATTATCATCATCATTATTGTTATTCGAATTTCGACGCCATGCAGAGTCGTGCTGAATAAAATCCAGTGACTAGTCTTCACAGCCTGTGAGGTGGTCTGGATAGAGCCTGCGGAGTTCGAAGAGAACATCTCGATATTCTGTCCGTTTCTCCTCCTCCTTCAAAACGATGTTCGGTATGGCTGGCGCCGAAAACTTGATCGCGAACATCGCTTTGGTTTGATGGCCGAGGAGGACTAGATCAGGTTCGTTAGCTGGTATTTGCCTGATGGTGGAGATTGAGAAGTTCCAACAAATCCGGCACCTTTCATACTCCACAACGGACTCAATATCCCCCCGAGCATAGGGCAGCACTTGGGTCTCGTCAATTCCGTACGAGTGCCTCCAATCATAGTAGAGCACTCGCAATGCCGCATTGTGTCTATGGATATAGGCCGAGATTGCATACACCGTGCAAGAAGACAGAAGGTGCATAATTGTCTCGGGCGCCCTGCGGCAGGCCCCGCAATTTGTGTCAGGGACCTCCATACCCATGACACGGCTACGGTAGACGGGAGTGTAAAAAATTTCATCCTGGCATCCCTATCTTTGGATGAGCCCCGGTCTTCAATGGTCTTGAAGTAGACCGAATGCATGGGCTTATCCATGCGAAGCAAAAGGAGCTTTGTCACTTCTGCAGCTGTGATGCGGGTCTTCCTCTTAGCGGGCTGTAGCTCCGTAACTGATTATTATTATTATTATTTGAATTTATATCATTCCAGTCATGACCCTGCGGCCGCCGACGCCACGCAGGGTCGTGCTGGATTAAATCCAGTGACTACTCCCCACAGCCTGTGGGGTGAATAATCACTGGGACCAAGAACCGTGTGCCCTGAGTGAACGCAACGATTCAAGTATGACGGCTTTCTGCATTCCACCATCCAGGATGTGTGCCTTATCGCTGCACGCTGGGATTTTCTGGATTCCCGAGAGCAGCGTATGTCGTGTGCCTCCTAGGGAGCCGATTATCAGGATGACCAATTCCACAAAATATTCTGGATAGAGCCTGCGGAGTTAGAAAAGAAGATCTCGATATTTGGTCCGTTTCTCGTCCTCCTTCGAAACGATGTTTGGTTCGGCTGGCACCAAAAACTCGATCACGAACATCGCTTCGGTTTGACGGTCGAGGAGGACTACATCAGGCTTGTCAGCTTGAATTTACCTGAGGTTGAGAAATGAGAAGTCTCAATGAATTCGGCACCTGTCATTCTCCACAACGGACTCAATATCTACCGCAGCATAGGACAGCACTGGTGTCTCGTCTATTCCGTACGAGTGCCTCAAATAGTAGTAGAGCACTCGCAATGCCGCATTGTGTCTATGGATATAGGCCGAGACTGCGTACACCGTGCAAGAAGACAGCAGGTGCATAATTGTCTCGGGCGCCCTGCGGCAGGCCCTGCAACTTATGTCAGGGACCTCCATACTCATGACACGGCTACGGTAGACGGGAGTTTTAAAAACCCCATCCTGGCATGCCATGATGAACCCTTCTGTTTCCGATTTGAGCCCGCCTGACTTGAGAAAAGCGAAAGTCAGTTCTTTGGATAAGCCCTGGTCTTCAATGGTCTTGAAGTAGACCGAATGCATGGGCTTATCCATGTGTAGCTGCAGAAGCTTTCTCACTCCTGCAGCTTTGATGCAAGCCTTCCTCCGAGCAGGCTCTAGCTCAGTAACTGAGTCCTGAGCCTCGCGCTCGGAGTCGAAAATCAGAAACAATTCATCGGCTGCTCGATGTGCTGCCCTGAAAAGCGAAGCTCATACCTCTGCCTCTTCATGGGTTTTAACCATTTGCAGGAGGGGATCCGAACTCCTGATGACTTTGCAGGTGCCATCCAAAACCATTCTGTTATGGAGATACTCCAAGCCCAAGAGTCCACGGCCACCCTGGTCTCTAGGTATGTATTACCGTGGAACGAACGAATTCGGATGGAGACTCCTATGGAGATGCATCATCATCAAGTTGTCGCAGCTCGACTTGAGTCCACTTTATCACTCTGAATGAGTGAAGTAGGATCGGAACAGCAAGCATATCAGTAGCAGCGACTTTGTTCTTGCCCGACAGTTCTGACGACCAGATCTGTCAGAGCCGCTGCCGATACTTGCTGCGGAGAGCGTCTTTCACCCGTTGTGCCTCCTGGATATGAGTTTCCTCTACACCCAGGTGAGTGTACGTCTCTCCGGCATCCAGGTGGTGTTGGATGCTTCCGTCTACGAGCTGCGCGTCCTTGTCGTAGTTCTCGCATCGTTCTCTCTTGAGATGAACCAGTGCACCACCCTGAGGGATTGGTCCATATCCCTTTCACCAGAGGCATAAGGTTTGAGGTCATCCACATGGAATAAGTGAGTGAACTTATGTCTTCGATAAATGGGTTGGCGCAGTTGTATCTTCTGGTTTTCCTGAGCTCAATGGATAGTGGCAGAAGTGAGATGCAGAATAGGAGAGGGCTTAGGGAGTCTCCTTGAGATACTCCTCTCCTTATAATGACTGGATCTGTCTGGACTCTCGCATTACCTGATGTTATAGTAAAGCGGGTCTTCCAGACCAGCATTAGTTGTTCTATGCATCTCACTATAGAATCGGGTACCGAAAGGCATTCGAGCAAGTACACGAGTATCTCATGTGACGTTGTGTCAAATGCCTTTCAAGAATCGATCTAGGCCACAGAAAGATTTCGCTTGTACTGCACAGAGTCCTGTGTAATAGATCTATCTACCAACAGGTTCTCCTTGCAGCCAGCGACACCTCTCTTTGACCCACGCTGCTCGGAAATCCGTTGGTGAACCGGATCAACTACTAGGAGCACTCGCATGTACAAGATGCGTGTGAACAACTTGTTACATGCATTCAGGCAGGTAATTGGTGTGTAATTTCTTTTGACTGGAAGAATCTCCAGTCTTGGGGAGGAGCACGGTTCGCGAGTGGGTACAGGGAAACTTTTTCCACCAGAAGTTATTGATCCTGTCGGGACCATGAGCAGCAAAGTTCTTAGAGCCTTTGAGGGCTTCTCGAACCTCCTCAGTGGTTATCGGTTGGCGCAGTAATTCGGGCTCAGGCTCTCGGTATCTTTCGCAAAAGGTACCGAACTGCGCCAGGGCTGGAGTATCTTTGTTGAATGGATGCCTCACTTCGTGAATACCCTTCCAGAAGGTTTCTACCTGATCGGCAGTCGGCGGATTGTCAACCACACTTGGAGGCGGTTGAAATAAGCGGGAGGGCTTCTCGCGGAATTGTTTATTTTCCGCCAGCCCTCTCGCTCGCCTCTTCAGTGACTATTTTGCAGCCACTAACATCCGTATCCTTTCGAGGCAATGCTGTTTGATGGTGAATAGCACTGCCTCATTAAGTGTGTGATGTGTGCGACGTAATTTAGTGGCCATTCGTCGCACCTTTGCTGTGAATGGCCTGTTGGCACTCACATATAATCCATCACACACTGGATACGGGAAGTGTGTTGTCTTGCCGACCGGATCTTGGCTTCCATCTTTTGTACACGCCGATCGGCCCTCTTAATCGGTGAGACTGTTTGTATAGGTCTCTCTGGCGGAGAGGACCGAACCACGTCATACACGGCACAATCGATGTGCCAGATGTCAGCCCCTTTCGGAAGTGTTTCCCGAAGCGATTCATCCATCCTTGCAAGGTCACGGTTCTGCAGGGCCTTAATGTTGAGTAGGCTCCTGCGGTGATTTCGCTCACCTCAGGAAGCACACGGTACCCTCTCTCGTTGTCGAGCAGGATGGGTGGAGCGTGTTGTTCCTCCACACCATCTTTTATGCCGAGAAGGGACTCTTACGTATTGTCTAGCGCGTAGATGAGATACATAATCCCGCAGATTTTGAGCGGTGAGTGCTCCATGCTCTGGGTGTTGCTCAATCCACAGAGCATGCATCCGCCTCATATATCCCCTACGCCCTGGATCGCTGCTCTCGAAGCACTGCAGAAGGTTGTCCCTCAGATCATCTGTCCACTCAGAGCGTCCATTTTCATCCCGTTCGTTATCAGGCTGTCCGTCCTGTTGGGCCCCACCACCTTGCCTTTGACCCCTATCCGGCTGGGGTCGATTGTGGGGGCCCTGTCCTCGGTTGATTGGAACCAGAGTATTCGGACCTGCCAGGTGGTTAACCTTACAGACCCACGCCTGACATACAAAGAGTAATGATTTTCTCCTTCCTACTCACCATGGGCAAACCTTTGAAAGATTTGCCCTCCTGCCTTATCATTAATATTATTATCATCATTATCATTATTCATATTATTTTCATTACAATCATAAGTAATATGTAATTTTCATGTATGGTCGACTTTATGTACTCATTTTGTCTATTTGTTCAAAGAATTTTGAAACACTTTGAGAAGAATGGAATGTTTCCACAACTTGCCAACAGAATGTGAAGAAATCTGAACAACAGAATGTGGTGAAGACTGTCACACAAGGAATTTCTTGAAGACATCAGTCATGTTATATTGTGATTCGTTCTGATACATCAACTGCCATGAATGCAATATAACAGAGATTTATTTTTATTCAACTGTGAAGTCATTGAGGTTTACAAATTGTATATTCAAGTACCCACATACTCCTTCACATATCAAGAGTATTAAAACTATAAATGAAGCTCATTCATTGTCACTACTATGTGATAAGAATTTTTGTTAGATATTCTGATTATTGACATCTTTGAAGGGTCTCAGAAGACCATTATTGTGTTAGTTCTCGAGATAAAACCAAGATGATAATCATAACATTTTTCTACGATTCCATTTCGAGCGCATTGTTATCAGATACAATTCAACGCCATAATTATAACGTCGAGTGCTTGTTGATCGATATATAAAGCCACTAAGCAATTCAATACGTAAGATTAGTTTTATTGAACTAATAACAGTCAATCATGATTTCTTGTCTAGAATTGTTCGTGTGCTTGTTAATAGTTGCTGTCGGCATATCGGCTACTTCAACTGATGAATCCATTGAATATCTGACAGCTAAGAATCTCACTGCAAATTATTGTTATGCAAAAAGCTATGATCAGGTACCATCCATTGTTAAGAAATGCACTCACATCGTTCTTCAGAACTTCGAAGTCCCAGCTGGTAAAACTCTGACGGTCAACTTACAAAAAAATTCAGTGCTTTTAATAGAAGGAACTATCAAATTTGGTGTGGCACACTGGGATGGTCCTTTCATGTATATAACTGGGGAAAACATTCAAGTCATCGGAGGAACTAGTGAGTAAATACTGTCTGTTGGTTGATAAAGGAGACAGGAGGTGGAATATTCATTTCTTGTCTGTGTCTTGATGAATACGGAGGATGCGCTAAAATATATGTAATAGATTCTGATTCAGATTTTCGAAACTCACTCACAACATATCATAGAGGTATGGTTTTTCCAGAGTTGACGTCTGTTGTAGAATTTTGTCAAAGTTATCAGGCGAAACTCACGACATCTAATCGCGAAGTAATTCCGCGAATGACTTTGTCGACGATACTACGACCCAAACCTTCATGAGTAGCCTCGAATGTCATGAGTAGAATGATTACTATTTCATGATTTTTCATGAGACAATGAATGATTATGCAGAAATCTATGCGTGCCTATGCCTCAAATATTGATTGGACATGATCGATAATTTTCAGTCAATGAGAGAATGGTCATGAATTATCATGGCCCTATCCTCCAACAGATGTCAACTAATCACAAATGGGAGATAGCACTTCCCTTTCAACTCACAGATATGACATCTATGTGGTAGTATCAATAAGGTAACAATAGATAGCAGGCCCAACGATACATTTCAAATCTGAATTGATATTTCACCTTGCCCGCTCGCTCATCCACTTTTTCCGAACCTCTCGCCTGATATGATTAAATAGTAAGCCTATGATGGAATGAAATCCGAATCTTCATAGAAAATCTTTGGAGGGTAAGTTGCCATTTTTGAAAATCAATTTTTTTTTTCGTGGAATTTTTCATCCAAACTTGAAAATTTTCAAATAGAAGAAGGGGTCAAGTTACACCTTGTCAGACAGTTATTCCAATTCTCTATTCAACGTTTCATTTCTTGTTCAATTCGGTCGAACCATATTTGCAAGGGAGCAGGCAAAACATTCGAATTGAATTTTGTTCAAATTGTTGGTAAAGGTATGCTAGGTATTGTTTTACTGTAGATAGGCGCAAACGGACATTGAGTATAAAAAACCACTTTTGAATAGAGGTGAATTCACTTCAAAAGTAAAACAATGAAACAGTACCAATAATTCAGACAAAAATGGTGATGAAATTTGAATATTCTGACTGCTCTCTTGCGGATATGACTCACTCAACCGAATTTGAAAAAATAGGCCGTTTTATAGATTTGGAATACCTGTCCAAGAAGATGTTATTCGACCCCTTGAGCAATTTGAGAATTTTGAGGTGGTAGGGTAGGCGATTGACAGGTGATTGGAAAGTTTCACGAAAAACATAGATTTTTCGAAATAAAAATCGACCTGTCAGAGGATTTTTCAGAATACATACAAAAAAGTGTACAAGGAACGGCCAGTGCTGTACCTTCTGGATCGTTCGAGATCGGATTCTGGAATTTGGTGGGTAGCAGAATATATTGAATTGCCATGCATTGACGAAACAATTTTTATAGTAGTAACGCACACAGTCATCTCCACAAAATATATCCTAGTATAGCGTCATTTTGAAATCATACCATAAATAAACAAAAACCAATGATATGATGTTATATTACTCTCATGATTTGGGATTTGGATAGGCGATAGTTAATGACAACTTTCTATTACTATTTATTCCTGTTTATAGATCACCTCATTCATGGACAAGGTGAAAAATATTGGGACGGTCATGGAATTGCTGGTGGTGTCACGAAACCACAAAGAGTCATGATGATCAATGCCAAACGTGCATCATTCAAAAATATCAATATTAAAAATTGTCCATTATTTTGTGTTTCTATTATTGGAACTGATCTCACTTTCTCTGGATTCAATATTGATAACAATGATGGATTCAAGGTGAGTATTTGATGAATTTCAACAATGTCATGTTTCATGGAAGAAAAGTTCATGTGTTCACCTAACCACATTTTTCAACTATCATCAACTATCTATCACTTCTGCAAAAGTTATGAATAATCTTGGTGCTTCTGACCTTACCAAAAACAAACGCTCTATATCGGAGGCCAAAATTGTTTGAGGTTTTTGCGAAGTTTATGATCATTTATTTGGGGACCAGGTGAGCCATTGACAAATTAGCATATTCGTGTTCAGCACTTTCACTTGGCGTATTGTCACAACTGAAATTTTTTGCGACTTATCTCCCATGAGACATATTTGATATTTTGAGATTCAAAGAACATTACTTTGTAGTATCATATTATATGGGTTACATGATTTCACCGTAGGGTAATTCCTCAGCTGCAAGTGCTATATGTTTATTCAACAGAAAAAAAGAGGATATTGAGTGATGCAGGATATGAAGATACGTTCAGATCTTACTACCAATATATTATGTGAAAAATAACGACGCATATTCCAGTTTCGTGATGGAATGATAATAATGAATAATTCCAGATTCCATTTCATAACTCAAAGAAAAAAGAGATGAGAATCAATTGCACTACACTGTTCCACCACTAACCAAACCTATTTTTTTCACGCTCCCACACGTGTTTCGCTATGTTAGCATCGTCAGGAGAAGATTGAAACTTTAGTGAGTGATTCTATGCATATGTATATGACATAGTCAAGAAATGTTCCATCTTCATCAATCCAATTTGTTGATATGTTACCTCAATACATGGTGTTGCCCTATATTATTCTCTCTCTTTATTCGAGGTGGAGAGAAGTCCAGATATATGACTGTCGAAGTTCTGATAAAATTCTATCTTCTGGCACTCCTTAAATCAACAAATGCGAATCGCAAAATGAAAACAGGAATCAAATCAGGTTTTTCAAAATGAGAACAAGTTGAATATTTCCATCTTGTGAAGACTATTCTCATTTTGTTCACGAATTTATACTGGTGATTTGCGTAGAACACACATTAGGAGTATTAGAACTTGCAGTTGTATTAAAAACTTGAAAATTGGTGAATTCCTAGTATTGATCAATATCAATCTACCTGACATATTTCTAGTCCTCCAGCTATAAAGGGTGTGTCAAAAGTCGGCACTAACTTCCTTATTTCAAATTCAAACCCATAATATCTCACACGGTTCGATTGATCTTCTAACTCCTAGTTAATACAATTTATGTCAGCTAATCTATCACAGTTTCCGAATTATCGCGATTCGTCTGAGAAAAATTACCGCCGTAATAGTTGACAACATTTGTTACTCGCGAACCGTTCAAAATAAGTGCACCAACTTTCGTGAAACAATTAGCTGAGAGTCCAGGCTATCTCCTGATATCCTGATATCCCATCGTGCGACTTTCAAATGTCGCATTGGAATATTGGCCGAAACTCGACTCTTTCAAACGGAACTAACTATCTTTCTTGATACCATATAAAAAGAAATTGAATTTGCATTTTCTATAGATAACTCAAACCTCCATCGATCAATCAAAATAAATGAATCAACGATACATTCTCAGTGTATACGGTGGTGTTATTGAAGGTAAAAACTTTTGAGCCATTGATCATCAATGGCTGCATGAAAATCTTTAAATCCGGAAAGTTGGGTGATCTGTGGCATAGGTGCATAAAAAAGCAAGAGATGTCTCCGCAAAATGAGTCATTTCTTTATTTTTATTGGATAACTCGAAAGAGGTTCGAGTTGAGTGAAGTTGAATACTCAAGTTACTAATCCTTAGATTCAATGTTCTCTCATATGGTGTGAAAAAAATTGTTATTGTCGTTCGAAGAAGTTAAGTTTATGCCGATTTTTTTGATGCCACATTTTAAAATCCTCCGCGCACATATGGTGCAGAATGGAACCATCGATGGGACATCCGGAGTTGGCCCGTAGTTCCAGTTAACTTTTCCACAAAGGACTCCGCACGAAATCATGGGAAATTGGCTCTTGGTCGAATTGGCTGAAATTTTACTATGTTGTAGTGGGATCCCGCATTAGAAAAATATGTAGGTGTACAGATTTTCGTATGCTCAGTTCCTGAGATATAAGTCGACAAAGTTCGTGAATACGTCGTATGGTATTTTAATAACTGATATCATGTACTTATGCAATTTTTGAATGATAGATTTGTGTCTAAGAATATTCCTAAGAATTTGGTATTCTTAGGAGTATCCAATGTAATTGTTTTATTGATATTGATCGCTGTGGACACATGGTTGTTTTTGATGAAATATTGCATGACGATGGTTTATGTATTATTTACTAATAATCGATTAGCGTGACCACAGAAGATGAAATTGCTGTATAATTCGTTGAATTTTTCATCAAGTTCTTGTTGATTTTCACCATGAAGCGCTACAGATAGGTCATCGGCACAAAAAACCATACAGCCAGTTTCAATATAATCAGGTAGGTCATTAATGAACATGAGAAATATTAACGGACCTATAGTATAGACCATTGATAAATTAATGCACTTGGCTATGATGATTCTGAACTACAGGTTGGGGAGTCTGTTATCCACGTCATAGGACAAATATTTTGATGAATGTTTCAGATTTCAGCTGAAATAACTAACCACCAGAAAGTAGTGTGGAGTCAGAATCATCTGTCAATAATGAAGTGAACATATTTATATAACATATTTATGATTAAAATAATAATAATAATTGTTGGGAACCAACTCCCCAGAAGTCGAAACTACTCCCCAGAAGTCGAAATGATAACTATAAGTATATCGTGGAACTTCATGATGATCGAAGAAAATTATTTAAACCAGGATATTTATCTATTCTATTCATTGCATTTCGAAGTTGGTTTGCTCAAATTATCCTATTTTTCATTGGTTGATCTTATTCCAAACCTTTATATATAACAAATTGAATTGTGAATAACTGAATAGTGATTGCTCACTGCTGTATGATTTTTTCAGATTTCAGCACATGTAATCTCACTCTTGATATTAAAGTATTTTGAAATAGCAGAATTTCAGCAATGGATCAGAAGCCAACAACGTGTTTTTTGTGTCTCATTTGTTAACACTCAGAACAATAAGAACCCAACATATCCCACCATTCACTGTAGCTCTCTTAATACAATTTATTGTAGAGAGCGAGGAATCACTTCTCTTTTTCTTCTGAATAGAACACTACCATGAAGCGTATGATCTCGATTTCCGAAATTTTAATTGAGGAATGAATCATTCTTGATTTTGAAGAGTTCGGGATCTTTTTCTACTTCTTGAACAATAATTTCTGCAGTAACGGTCGCGAAAAATATTTTGAAAACTGAATATAAGCAGATATCAAGAGACTCTAGATTTATATAGATATCAATGGATTCAATATTCGAATCAACTGTTGCTCTCGATAAAAATCAGTTTGGCCCCTTCTCTCAAGAAGAAAAAGCACGTGATTTCAGGAATAAGACAAATCTTCTCGAATATCGATGCATACTCATCAAAAATATATTTTATTGGATGAATCTGTGGAGTTTCTGATACTCTGATATGCTGCTTCAATGCCCAGATGTCGTATCCATACACGACCTGATAACGGTGGATAGTCGTCAGAAACAACATAAAGATCATCAGTGGACATCTTTTCTCTATATTGAACATTGACTTCTAACATTCCTTCAGGTGCAAATGTTTTTTTTTATATAGAAGCGAAATATTAGCTAGGATTTTTTCAGGCGAATTTTCAGTTTTGATTTTGGATAACATGAACGAGGTATAAGGGTGAACCATTCTTTCGGATCAACCTCGAATGTTTGTGGTAGACCTTGGAAACTGACGGTGACGAAATATTTTGAAGCAATCGCTGGTGCCTTAACATTCCCCTAAACATCCACATTGTTTTTGATTCAAAAAATCTGGTCAAAATTCGAATATCCTTCTACGGAATGAGTACTACTTCTTGATTCACTTTTCGAAGCCATGAGTGTTCTGATACATACCCGTTGTACATGACCTGTTGAGGAACATGAGGTACATCAGATTTCGTCATGTTTGGCATGACACTCCATGATATGAATTTGATGCGTACTAATGCATGAATTATCAATTCCTAGGTGCTCAGAGTCAAGGCGTGACTTGAAACGTGGTCGCCAATGTCATGAGTCATCTCTCTTGATTCTGGACCGATTCCTTCGATGAAAAGATTGAAAACTACTTCTTGAAGGGCGTGAAATTCTGATTATATCTGAAGCAGTCAACGAATCTAATATTGACGATTGTTTTGATTTCAGCGACCGACTGTCTATTTTGGAAGCTTCGATAGCTAAAGACTCCTTCACAATTACTCCGAGAGATGTTTCATTCGACTGTAGAATTTGTTTCCTTATCGAATTATATTTGAGTCCCCTGATAAACTGTGCTCTCAGAAACATATCGGAAATACTAATTTCACACTTGCAAGGTAATATTTCATCGCAATCACTAACATTCGACGCAATTTGACCACAAAATCTGCTATTTATTGATCATCTTGTTGATAAAGGAACAAGAATTGATGTTTTGCTACTAACACGTTTATATTCGGGCATAAATCATTCTCGAATTGCTGCAACATTCATCGTACGAAAAGTCTTTGGGATACTCAGGAGATAATGAAGAGACAATGAGCTAATAGTGTTAGGACCAATTGAATTCAGAAGCATTTGGCTGCTTAGTATCTCATCATTGAATACACCTTTTATTGTCATTTAATTTTGAAATTTCTATCGATACATCTTGAAATTTTCTTTGAACGCATTGAAATTTCTGGAATTCGGGATCGACATACTTCATACTGGTGCTTGGGATGGTCCCGGCCAGCTGCTAGAAGGTATTTGTGAAGTTTTTTCAATACAACTTCACCATTGCGGCCTTCACCCTTTGGTCCGAGATTTATTTTCAGAGACCTCATACCGTGTGATGGAGGTGGAATTTGGGATGTCCTTATACTGCTGAGCGTGAACAGATGAGACAAAAGAATACGCTATGGGCGGTCTACAGAATCAGTGTAATCACTGACAACGCTAACAGTTGAATTCGGAATGTAGCCTGTATCATTCTGATTTTCAGGAGGAGTCACTAATAATACTGATGTTACCAAATCTGTTATAGGGTGGATTAGCCGTCAACACCGATGCGATGTCATTCGCATATACAGACAACATCATCATTGAAAACTCGAAAATTTGGAACCAAGACGATTGCGTCAATGTTTTGGCAAGTAAAAATGCAGTCATCCGAAACGTTCACTGCTGGGGATCTCATGGTCTCAGCTTCAGTTCGGGGCTCTCAAGTACTAACGAGAAGAATGATATTCATAACGTTACTTTCGAAGATTGCTCGATTGGAGGATCCCTAAACGGTATCCATATTTTGACATTGCCTTCTGGTGGAAAAGGAACAATCAGTCAAGTGACATACAGAAATATCAACATAATCGGTATGATAAGTACATTGTTTCATTTTAAATTACATACTCAAGTGTTTGAGAAGATTATTTGTTAGAATTGTGATTTATGTGTTTGGTTTTCTTGAAAACATATCACTCATGATTGAAAAAATCCGCTTAAAATACGTGATACGTATCACTCATTTATACCAAGAGGTGCGTTTATTCAAGCCTGAAGTAATGAAAATTAGGAAGGTTTAACTAACGTAGTTCATAGTTGGATCATCATCAATGAATACATTCTTCATAATGTATAAGTGATGAATTTCAAGAATCAAATTTGTATGTGAAGAATGAATTAGGCATTTCAATCATAATTATCAGTGGTATTGAGGTTGTGACTGAAATTTTCACAGTTATTTATTTCGATAGGAGCATTTGATTATTCCGATAGATAATTCTTTGTTGAAATATTCATAGTATCGAGCTGAACTTCAGATCTCGTATCATGTTGATGTTACCGTCAAATATTCGAATCGCAAGACCAATGTCACTATTTCAGTTGTTCAATGCTAACTCGATTGTTTCGCGTGATACTGTACGTCAAATAATATCTCATGATATGGAAACTGAAAACCAATATTATAATCAGATTTGAATTTCATTTCTTGGATCATCTTCTCGAAACCTGTTTTCTATCTAGTTACCTATACCGGTTGCAGAAATTATCATCTATCGGGTTCGTTCCATTAACTCTGTTTATCTTTCAGATGTCATATTGAGAGCAATCGAATTTCGCCAAGATTATTTGGATGACGGTCATCCAAGCAACAATATCCAAATAAATGGTCTGACACTAGAAAACATTTATGGTACTGTAACTGGTAGGGACTCGGTGGCAGTTTATATAAAATGTGGCGCTGGATCTTGTTCAAACTGGAATTGGTCAGGTATCAAGATAACTGGAGCTCAGAATAAGAATTATTGTAATTACCATCCGAATGGGTTCACATGTTGATGCGAATCAATAAAGTAACTTGTTGTGATAATTGTTATTACTCCTTTCCAATGCAGGTTGTATTAGATATATTTCAAACAAAACCAGGAAGAGTATCACTCAGTTGTTTTTGGAATCCTGTGTCAAAAAGCCCTATGTGCCATAGAGGTTCAGCGATTGGCGGATGGCGAATGGCAAAGTATCCTCTTCATACTCCAGATTTCAATCCGGCCATCCATCCCTTTTCCCCTGTAACCTAACCTCACCATGGTGCAGGGAGTAAAATCCGCGGCTGCCTGGCAGATGGATTATTTTGTGGAAATATTTATTCTCACCACTCAGATGAGACAGTTCTGTGGCCATCTGCTCATATAGCAGCGGATTGATGAACGAGGCTCTGGCAACTTAATCCAAGTTGTGGGAATCCGTGACGAGAAATAAATGGTACCGAGGTTGTAGCCCAGTGAACATATTCACGTCGAGATAACGTAATAAAATATTACCGCAACGGTCGATTGAAATAACGTACAATTGGAATTTTTCATCACACTCAATCAACGCAAAAATGTCGCAGGTCCACGTTGTTTCTATTCAGTACACAAACTGATTCTCAACTAATGAATTCACCGTACATGAACGTTCGACACTGGTGAAATCTGTTCGGTTCTCATCCAGATGTTTCACGAATAATCAACGTGACGTATCAAAGTTTCGTTACTGTTCGGAATAACTATTATCAAATGTTGAATATTGACGATTCCAACAAGTTGATTCAATAATCCCAGTAAACACCAATTGATCTCAGAGATGTCAGTACACTTCACATTTGTGAAGAATGAGTAGATTTCTTGCCAAAATTCAACAATTATTCGTGAACTTTGCCGGAGAAGAAATATTTAGAAGGAGAAAAAAATGGACAGTGTACTTCAATTTTGGATTCACGTCGACGGGCCTTTCAAATTTCTTACCCTAGATGATATCTGCAAGATCCAGAGAAATCTGGGAGGCTGAAGTTGAACCAGCCGGCCACTTGGAAATGTCCTTTTTGGTCTTTTACCCACTACAGTTTTCGTATCAAAATGTTCCAGATGTACACGAATTTTTATATTCAGTCAATTAATGCACTTTCGCTTTAACGTCTAATGTGACGGTTTTCAAAGTTTCCTTTGATTGTTTGAGAAAAATTTGATGTTTTACGGTGACAAGCGTACTCCCGAGAGAGATGTCTTGTTGATTTTCTTTTTATGCGCAACAGGTGAATTTTGTTCTCTTCCTGTCCGCTAGGCGCGATTGAAATCTGAAAGGCTTGATCGCGATAATATAATACCCGGTGTGCAAATAAATAATGATTTTGGATCAATGACGAAAAAAATAATGAATCATTGAATTTGAAACTAAAATCAGAGTTCTTGTTAACAACAAATGAATCCTACATAATAATTAATAATTAATCAATAGAAAAGTCATACACGATTGCGTGTGGACGCAACACACCGCCCACCTAAAATACGAAAGTATTTTACGAATCAAGGGGTAAAGGACATAATTTGGAAACGGGTCGTCTGAGAATATTTGTAGCTGTTTTGACAGAAGCAACCCGAATGTGGTCGTCCGTACCAGGAAATACCTCATGAATGCGACCCATTTGCCATTTCGAGGGTGGTGCATTGTCCGATTCAGTCAATACTAAAACACCCTTTTTAATTGGTGAGGGAGTGTCATCAGTCCACTTCACTTCCTGATTGAGAGTATATAAATATTCATGTGACCACCGGTCTCAGAAGTTCTGGTGCATACGGACCAGGAGTTGCCATCTGGAGAGCCTATTTAAAGGTGAATCACGTGAGTCAGGTTCGGGAGGTGCAGTCAGCGGCTCCAGCGTTAAGAAATGACTTGGGGTGAGAGCGCTAATGTCATTTGGATCATTACTGAATGGTGTTAATGGGCGAGAGTTCAATATTGCCTCAATTTGCACGAGCACCGTAAGAAGTTTCTCGAAGGTCAACACTCGATCTCCAACGATCCTGACTAAGTGGGTTTTAACCGATTTCACCCCCGCCTCCCATAAGCTGCCGAAGTTAGGTGCAGAAGCGGGAATACGCTTCCAGGTGATGGCCTCTTGGGAAGCGGCGGCTGAAAGATAACTGTTTAGTTGACGATAGGCGCCGACAAAATTAGTTCCTCCATCGCGACAAATGAATTGACAGCGACTTCGACGAGCACTGAAGCGTCGTAGAGCTGTCATAACGCGTCTGAGGAAAATTCAGACGCTAATTCTAAATGGATAGCCTTGGTGGCAAAGCAGACAAATTAACAGAGGTATGCTTTCGAAGTTTTGGCACCACGGAACTTTGACATGGTAATAGTAAAAGGACCTGCATAGTCCACTCCGACATGCAGGAAAGGTTTTATCCGAGAAATACATTCGGATGGTAGGTCTCCCATAGGAGGCTGGATAGACGAGGGATTCACTCGCCAACACTTCATGCATTTAGAAAGAATTCGACGAATCGAACGTTTGGATGACAGTATCCAGACATTTTGAGATATTGAATACTGCACTGTTTGAACACCAACATGAAAATATTCCAGATGATTGGATTCAATAATTGAATCAGTGAGTCTGCTTCGACTTGGCGAGTCTGCTGGATATTTGCGAGCAAACGGCAATGGCGCATGACGAAGTCGTCCTCCAACTCGAAGTATTTCTTCCTCATCAATAGATGGGGATAATTTTCTGAACATTCTCGGAAGTGGTTAATTCTTCTGAAGTAAATGAATCTCCTCAGAGAAATGAACTAACTGGGTATGTTTCACAAAATGTAGAAGATATTGATGAAGTTCATAACTAGATAGATACATAGACCGACTCCTTTTTTTTTGAACCTCAAGACGTAGCTTGAAATGCGTAGTGAAGTAGAAACAGAAGAATATATTCCAAGCCAAACATCCAAAAAATGATGACCTCAAATTGTGGTAGTTGAGACAATGGGACTGCGTTCTTCCTTCGAAACATCGGCAGAGGGGGATTCAAGCAAATCCTGATCGATTGGAAGATTGCGGTGTGAGGAGCGAATAACCTCAGGCCCCGCCCACCATAAGGAACAGGCTAGCAACTCAGTAGGGAAGAGACCCCTAGACCCAACATGATTCGAGGGCAACTCTTTCCTGAATGAACGAAACCCTGTTACTGACAAATGTTTTCCAACGATGTGGAGCAGAATTTATCCAATAGAGGACAACAGTGGAATAAGACCAACAAACAATTTTATCGAACAAAAGTTTGTCCTTGAAAATTTGACACAAAAATGCCACCAACCTTGAGACTAATACTGCTGCACAAAGTTTAAGTCTGGGAAGAGACACAGTTTTCAGAGGATTTGGCACAAATGAAATGTGTAGAAACTTCACCTGACTCCTCATGGAAAGAGAGATATCCAACCGCACAGTAACCCTTTTCACTTGCATCTCCAAAACAATGAAGGTGACAAGTGGAAAAGTGTCAAGGTGTCAATAAACGAGGTAACGTGAGTTTAGATAACGATGGAACATCTGACAAATATTTTTCCCAGACGCGAACAATATCGAGCGGAGCCTCTTGGTCCCATTCAATTTTTTGTGTCCATAATTTTTGAATCGAATGTTTAATTCGGAAAGTAATTGGCGACAAGTGTCCTAAGGGATCAAACACCCTTGCAAGGCTTGCAAGAAGATTTCTTATAGTACAGTTCACTTCAATATGTTGTAGAGAGAATTTGAAACTATCCAAAGACGGGTTCCATTGAAGGCCTAATACCTTCTGAGAACTTTCAGGCTCAGAATCGAATGAAAATGGATCAATTTCTAAATGAGATTTTGGTATATGAACTGAAAGCGCAGGGTTATCACTCGACCATTTACGTTACTCAAATCCGCCCTTCTCCAAGAAAGAATTTAGTTGGGTTTGTAAAAACAGCGCATCTTCGACAGTTGGAAGGGAATTCCTCTTTGTTTTCTTCAGCCACAGCCGTCTTCAATTGAAAGCCATGAAGAATGAACTTTGGTAACATTGTCCGAACGACCGAACGTGAACCTGTCGGCCATTCAAAGTGTATTGTGCAGGAAGTAAACAAAGAGTTTATGGAAGGTTTTGTTAGAGTTTTCAATTATTAATTGGTGTATTATTGAGATCAAATAATTTCAAAAGTATTAGCAACAATCTAGGAATCGACTCGAGACTGAAAATGTGTGGCAAGTGCATACAAAATTGTGTTAAATTGGAGGTTATAGTGAAGTACTGGTACACTTCTGCTTATTTAAAAGATAAACTCATCTTCAGAAACGCTGTGCACAACATTAATATTCGATTTCCCCACAAATTGAGTATACCACGTCATGTCAGTGCCATTTTTAGGAAAGGATTTTCATTTACTGCTCCGTCACTGTTCAATACTATTCCAAATAACATAGTTATCTCAAGTTCAGTCAGTTTCAAAAACAAGATCAAAATCCAACTTTTACTGCAACAATAACTCTTGCTAGACCGATACATGGATGCTTGACATCTCAACCGTTTTTTCCCTATTTCTATGTTGCTTCTTGTTGTTGTTGTTCGATCCGTGCTTGAAGTTGAACAAGGTTATCTTTTTGTTATTTTTTTCTAGACAATTTTTTTTTTTTCAATACTTGATGTTTTGTTACAGCTCTTTTCATTTAGTAAGAGGTATAGTTATTAGTGTATATGATGAATAATCTAAATATTTCACGATACTATTGTTCATAGTCTGTTGATAGTCATTTCAGGACATTCCTGGATGGACACACTATGTCAATGCTTTATTGAGGTTCAAGTGTAAGAATAGCGTTCGCTAAACTTCGCCTTTCTAAAGTCAATGTACTATCATGTTCTTCATGAATAAAGACGATTATTATTATTATTATTATTATATAAAAACCATTGTATTGCTAGGCACGAATGGTACCGACGGTTTCCGTTCGTGCGACGTTGCCATTATCTCAGCACGGCTTGATAGTTGAAGACGGCTGTGCTTCAGCCAATTGCAGAAGAGTA